GTCTCTTCCATTAAGCTAACAGCTCCCCCCTTTGAAAACTTTTGGCACAAACAGCGCACAGCTCAGCTGTGCTTTGTCTCCGCCCCACCCCCAAACAGCGTACAGCTCAGACTTGTCCCTCCCACACCAACGAGTCTGTGATTTTTGTCGAGGGTTCTTGGAGATAACACACATATAAATGTATATTTTCAAATGAAAGTGTGTGTGCTTCTTACCTGCACATTTCTTACAAATGACCACACCCAGATTGACTGACGCCCACTCCGGCTGAGGGGCACAACAGTCGGCACAGCTCCTGTTGGCCTTGTTGAACCAGATCTTCTCTGCCACTTCATAGTCAGAGAGTGTCTCAGCAATCGATTCCTGGACCGCTTCAATCCACTCCTCCTTCTCCCGTTCCGAGTTCGCCACAAAGCTGTAACAATCACATTTTTTTTTTCACTCCCGACTCCAACACATAGCTCACTGCTATTGATTTGATTTGAGAGAGCAATTAAACAACATAGTAGAGCTTGGCAGGATTATAAGGGTGTGCAGTACTTGGAGCAGTTATGGGAAGGGGGTTGGAAGGGTGTTGCTAAGTATCTTTGTGTGATTGCAATAGATAAGGTGAAATTGAAAGAAGCAATGGAAGGAGTGCAAATAAATCAATCTGTCTCAGCTCCCAACTTGACAATCTACAAAGATCTAACGACGGCTTTTTTTTCCAGCTATTATTTCAACATTAAACTCAGGCAAGTTGAAAATGGTCATGGTCAATGTGTAGAAACACTACCAATTTAGAGTGTTGATAGAAGAAATCATGTTTAACAAGCATTCCATCAAAAACAAAAGTGTTGTCACTAAATATACAAAGAGATAAATTAAGGTTCGGTGGAGAGTCTTTGCCTCAGATGGACGAGTTTATGTATCTAGGCATCTTGTTCCTGAGTGATGGTAGGATGGATGTGATGGATCGACAGATTGGGGCCTTGCCCTCAGTTATGAGGGTGTTGGTTGATTGGTTGTTGTAATTAAAGAACTGAGTTGAAAAGCAAAGCTAACTTTACTGGTCCATCTACGATCCAACATTGATCATGAGGTTTGCATCATGACTGAAACAACAAGATCCCAGATACAAGACGCAAAAAATGAGCTTCCTTTGTAGGGTGGCAAGTCTCAGCCTTAGAGATGGAATGAAGAGCTCCATCAACTGGGGGGGTGGGGCGCATGGAGTGGAGCCACAGCTCCATTGCACCAAAAGTAATCAGTTAAGGTGGTTTGGGCATCTGATTAGGATGCTTCCTGAACACCTCTCTTTAGATGTTTTCTGAGCATGGACCACTATTAAGAGTTCAAAAAGCGTTCAATAAAAAAAAAGAATGAGAACTGAAAATCTTCACCAGCATATCACTATTAAGAGGCCCTGGAGAACACTCAGAACTTGCAGAAGGGATTGTGTATCTTCTCTGGCCTGGGAACACCTTTGTGTCCCACAGGAGGAGCTGGAAAGTGTCACTTGGGAGAGGGATATCTGGGTTTCTCTCCTGGACCTGTTATCTCTGTAGCCAGACTACAGATAAGCAGTAGAAGATGGAGATGGAAGAATTTAGGTTTGGAAATGAAGGTGATGCTTGTTCTGTTGATACTTGTGCAAATGTAAAGTGTAAGGAAATATTACAAATAATGCCATGTGTTTTTTTCCCTGATTATGATATAAACTGGTCAATAATTTTCTAATGTTAACCATTAATAAGGATAATTACACACATTGCACTACAGAAGAGGAAGCCTTGTTGTGTCAGTCATGTCACTATTAAGAACAGTAACTGCAAACCAAGATTGAATTATCTGCCTTGAAGACTGTCTGTAAAGGCAGACAGCACAAGTTTTAAAGGTACCGTTTGATGTTCCAAGGTCAAATCTTAAATCCCTTGTTCCTCATAACCCTAACCCCTAAAATGTATACGGTCACACCAGCAAAGGTTAGGGGTTCCCTGATGGTATAGATCGAATTGACACCTTTATACGAACATTTATTTCTAGAACACATTTCACATGATGTGGAATGAATTGGTTTGGCAAAGAAACTCGCAAATTTAGGTGTTTTATGTTTTTCTTTCAAGATAATTAATTGGTTGAACCACTGTAATATGTAGTTTGTATATTCTGTTTGTTTTCTGTTTTTTGAATATGCGTGGGTCATTCTTAGAAAGTATTGAAAAAAATACAAAAAAAACAGCATCCTATTTTTAAATGATAATATTTTCACAGTCATATTTAGTTTGAAATATTCTGATGTACTAATGATACTACTGGCAATCATCAGACATTACAATGAAGTTAGTTGTTAGCTAGATAACTAATGTTACCAGCATATACACTTAGTGACTATTTAGAAAAACAAAAGGAAATGGCAACAACTGCTGGTGTTTCAGTTCCTTCAAAGGATGCCTCATTCTGTAGTGAAATATTTTAACTCTTTGAGCTGATGTAGATTTCCACCTACATAGCAGATATGTAAAATGGAGCCTGCCCCACAGACAGTTTTACACCAATTTGCACCTCCATGCGAAGACTAAATCATTACACATGTTGACCAGCGTCTATACAACAAACGTCCAACTAACCTTGGAATCGACTTTGGAATACTGAAAATCCCAAAATTAACCTGAAGTTACCTGAAGTTTGAGCCTAAACTGACATTGAAAGTACAAAGAGAGTCAAGGGTGATGTAAAAGGGTAAAAAATAACATTCTTCCCAGCTAAAATTTAAAGATTTGCTGAAGGTAATGAAAGGTCAGCTAAATACATGCAGTTGAACATTTATGAAAGAAGCAATCTTGTTGTTTGTGTCTTTGTGGAGCTCAAACAAGAGAGTGAGAAAAGTGACAGCAAGAACAAGAGAGAGAGAGAGAGAGAGAGAGAGAGTTTCTTTATTGTCATTCGCACCTCATGTGGTACATGTGGTGGAGCGAAATTATGTACACAGGGTCCCAGTTACATCCAACAATAAAATGTATAAGAAAAACAGTAATAACATCTAAGATATGAACTAAGAAAAACATCAACTAAATATACACTAAGCACTCACAACAAAAAAGAGGCAGCCAGCACCCTAACCTAACTCAAAGAGACACTTTAAGGAGATAAGGGACCACTAGTGTCCATGGCAACCAGAGTAAAGTAAGATATGGGGGTAGGGAAGTAGAAGAGGGAGCCTTGTGCCTGGAGTGGAGGATGTGCACTAGGCTGGCCTCGCCCAGGCAAACCAGCAAAGATCAATAGGTTGATTGGGTTCAGCCGTACTGTGCTGGCCGATCTTTGCCCAGGGCCCATCCAAAGAGACGACTGCTCACACTGTCGGCTCAACCACAGCACCATATCCGAAAAGCTTTAAAGAGTACAAAGGCAGCAAGGAGAGAATATGAATAGGTTTTAAATGCTTTACATGCTTTGAAGAGTTTTAAGACCTGTAGTGCCACCTGGCCACAAATAAGCCCAAAAAGTAGGTTCAAAAGAGCAATAAATAAACAAACAAACTGAAATTTGGATTAAATTGTAATCAAACACTAGCATATCAGCACTGGTGTGATACAAAGTGGATTAGACATAAAGCGTCAGTGTGTCTGTGTAACACCTGACACGTTCAAAATCGTTGATGCCATTTTTATATACCATTTGCAATAATTTGAAAGCATCAAAATACACTTATATATTGTTTAAAATGTATTTTTAACTCCCAAAGACTATTCTTATTACCTGCAACTAAACCAGAACTTACTACCACAGAGCTGTTACTATGTGAAATATTACAAAATTGAACATAATCTAAAATTATGACCTGTAAGAAGTCCTATGGATGAAGGACGAAATGTCTCAGCATAAACAGAAACCGTCCAGATGGCCTGACTGAACACTGCCGGATTTTAAACCTGGATTATTGAGCATGAACTTTGGTGTTTTGAACCACTTTGGCACAACTGTCTCAGAGTAGTTGACGGGGGAGAGGGCGGGCCCCAGAGGCCATCTTAGCACCAGCAAACTTTCTTTTTTCCACTGTGGAGTATGCTGATTTATGGAAATCCGTTTGTTTGGTGGCTGGCTCCTCAGATTGAAGAAGTCCTTTGGATGAAGGATGAAACGTCTCAGCAAAAAAAGAAACCATCCAGATGACCTGACTGAACATTGTTGGATATTTACCTGGATTACTGAGCATGAATAATGGTGTTTGACCCGTTACCTTACACTGTTACCCAATAGCAAGATAGTTTGTTCTATATTTGAAACTTGGAAAGTTATATTAGGTTAAAAGAAGAAAATAAAAAGTTTGATTCAACAGAAAAACACTATGACATGCACAGTTTTTCTGTAAAATATTTGATAGTCTCTAAGACAGTATATAGGTGAGCCCTCTTTCATGATGTCTGCGATGGATGTGAGGAGAACATTTCAGAAAAACAGTCCTTGGAAGGCATCTGGTCAGGATAACATTCCACGGCAGGTTTTGAGAGAATGTGTCCATAGACTTGGTGGTGTGTTGTGTGTTTACAGACATGTTTAACATATATGTTTGTCCCAAGCTGTGGTGCCTGCCTGTTTCAAGAAGTCCACCATCATTCCAGTGCCTAAGAGTTCAGAAGCAACAGCATGAATGATTATTGGCCAGTGGCCCCAGTATTAATGAAGCGTTTTGAACGGCTGGTTTTGTCCAATATCAAGGACTCAGTTGGCATGTCTGTGGACCCCCAGCAGCAGGCCTACAGAAAGAACAAGTCTGTGTCTGATCTATCCATATCCACACTGCCCTCATTCACCTGGAAGGTCGGGACTCATATGTCAGATTGTTTTCCTGGATTTTAGCTCCACCCCATGGACACTTGCTAATAAGCTGCTGATGCTGGGGTTGAAACCATTGGTGTGCAACTGGGTCCTGGACTTCTTGATAAGAAAGTAACAATATGTGACCATCCACAGTGTCTCGTCCATCGCACGCAGCACTGGCCCCCCACAAGGGTGTGTCCTCAGCCCCCTCCTGTACACACTACTCACATATGATTGCTCTACAAGGTACCCAGGCAATCATGTTGTAGAGTTTGCTGATGCCACAGCTGTTGTTGACCCGATTCCGAACAATGCGAGTCTGTGGTACAATAGGGAGGTCAGAGACCTTGTCAATTGGTGCCAGGCAAATAACCTGTGCATCAATGTGGCAAAACCAAGAGATGGTGGTGGACAGCAGGAGGAGGGCACATACTACTCCTCCCATCATCATTAGGGGAGAGACTGTGGAACTGGTGATCAGTAACCACTATTACCCAATACTTGAGTTTGTACCTGTCCACTGACCTTACATGGCTCATGAACACAGCCAGCTCGCCAATGCATGTATTTTATGAGGAAGCTGAAGCAGGCTAGCTTCAGTGGTGCTGTCTT